TGTGATGACTCCCAACCATAAAATTACTTCCGTGGCTACTTCATAACTGTAATGTTGCTGCTGTTATGAATCGTCATGTAAATATCTGATATGCAGGATGTATTTGGGCGACCCCTGTGAAAAGGTTGTTCGACCCCCAAAGGGGTCGCGACCCACAGGTTGAGAACCGCTGCTAACTGACTGCGCTTGGTCAGCAGTTACCCAGTAGCCTCGTTCTCCTCTTTGAACATTTTCTTTGCCTTATTTCTCTGACTGTCTCCTGCTTCCTCTGCAGCCCACCGACTGCCCTTTCTCCTGTGTAGCTTTGGCCCTAAGCGTAGAGGAGGCACCTTACTTGCTTCCCTAACCCATTTGTTTCCTTCATCAAAAGCCTCACCTTCTTTGACATTTTGTTACATGGGTTAAACAAAATGTGGAGTGGGCGGGCTGGACTCAGATACCCAACTGTTGTTACCAGGAATTTCTCTCACACCTGCCTTCTCTGGCCTCTGTGCTGCCTCATCTCTCCATCTCAGTCCTCCATTTCTTCCTATCTCTGTTTTATGCTTCCCCTGGATTAGTCTTATTTCCAAGGTGTGTTTCCCTATGTGGTGGCAGCGAGGGCCACCGGCAGCCTGTCCAGCTTGTTGAAGAGAGAGGTCCTCTTTTCCTTCCGGCCAGCCAAAAAACTGGACCTGATTCTCATTGAGCTGGCTTACCTCAGGTGCCCACTGAGGGAGTGGGGCAGGGCTGGTCTCCAAAGAGAGAGTCTGGGTGCTATTCTGTTACCATTGAAAGGAAGCTTGGGTCCGGCCGGTGGGGTCACTGGTTCGAATCCCAGTCAGAGCACATGCCTGGGTTGCAGACTCGATTCCCAGTAGGGGAGCGTGCAGGAGGCAGCCGATTGATGATGTTTTTCTCTCATTGAAGTTTTTATCTCTTTATCCCTCTTCCTCTCTCTCTAAAATGAATTGGGGGGAAAAAATGGGTTAGGGAAGCAAGTAAGATGTCTATTCTGCCCTTAGGGCCAAAGGTACACGGGAGAGAGCAGTCGGTGGGCTGCAGAGGAAGCAGGAGACAGTCAGAGAAATAAGGGAAAGAAAATGTTCCAAGAGGAGAACGAGGCTGCTGGGTAATTGCTGACCAAGCGCAGTCAGTTAAAGGGTCTAAAGGGCAGAGAGGAGAGGAGGAGAGAACAGACTAGGGGGTGTCCAGAGCAATGTGGGATGAAGCATCTGTGTGAGAATGAGTTGGGAAATGGGGGTGGGGTGAAGAGTCCTTGCCTGAGCAGCCCTTTATAGTATATTTTGTGTGGGCACAAAATACACCTGAAGTTAGTAAAAAATCATAATAAATTGATAAAACTTTATCTTCCAACGACCTTGGTTACCCTAAGAGAAATATTAAGAATTAACATGAAATTAAATAACATCGTTACAGGTTCTCATGATATAGAATTAGAGACAATCTGATTTCATATTATTTCACGGGCAGATAGTAAGGACAGTATAAAGTTGTTTATAATTTTGTTTTTAAATTACTTCAGATTTTACATGCATGACTTTGAAAAACTTGTCTTTTTTGTTTTCGAGGTACAATATTAACACCATGATTACTTTACAGGTAGACAGGTAAGTTTGCAGCAGCAGCTTATTCAGGTGATGGACCGCATTTGTAACTTAGTGGATGCGATTCCCGATGATGAGCTGAAAGCTTTGGATTGTGGGGACGATCTGCTTCAGCAGCGGAACAGAAGGTACCTTGATTTTTCTCCTTCTGGAGTATATCTGGCTGCATTGCCTCCACTCTATATCAGAAACGTACAGGGCAAAATGGTTAACATTCTGAATAGATGTTTTAAATTTATTTACTTTTTCAAACTTTTCCTTTAGTATTTTTTAAAAAGTACATTTTATTGATTTTTTACAGAGAGGAAGGAAGAGGGATAAAGAGTTAGAAACATCGATCAGCTGCCTCCTGCACATCTCATACTGGGGCTGTGCCCGCAACCAAGGTACATGCCCTTGACCAGAATCGAACCTGGGACCCTTCAGTCCGCAGGCCGACGTTCTATCCACTGAGCCAAACCGGTTAGGGCTTCCTTTAGTATTTTATCCAAATTTTTGAAATTGGAAAAAAGAGAATGTATTTTGCCACAACTTGGGATGAGAACTGAAGACATACTGTGTGGCCCGCCGTGGGAGACTGCTCACACTTCTCTGGTGTTGTGTGTTTTCTCTTCAGAAGGAAACTCCTGGCCGAAGCAGATTTTAACCCAAGTGATGCCAGTGTCCTCGGCTCAATGTGGAGGTGCAGGCCTGATGCCCTTGGTGACCCCATGGAGGACATGGCATCTGTTTCCTTGCCGTATGCGTTTTCAAAGGGCGATTCCTGCCCTACAGGGAGTTCTGATGAGTTACATTTTCCGCCCATTCCCTCAAATTCCATTTCTTCTGGTGGATGTTTGGTGACTCCCCCAGGAAAGACAGGGTTCTCGGTCACCAAGAAGAACTTTGAACGACCATTATTCAATTCCCATTTACAGAAGTCCTTTGTGAGTAGCAACTGGGCTGAAACACCAAGAACAGAAAAAAGAAGTGAACGCTCTCATTTTCCAGGAAGTGTTCTTACAAGCACTGCTGTGAAAGATCAGAATAAACACACTGCTTCAACAGATGACTTAGAAAGGGAAATCCAGGCCTCCTGTGAGATTGATAATTTTGACATAGATGACTTAGATGATGATGACGAGTGGGAAAATATAATGCATGGCTTAGCAACGAACAAGTCTTCCACAGCTGCCTATCCACCTATTAAGGAAGGTCGGCCCGTTAAATCAGTATCAAAAAGAATTTCTCCAACCAAGACAGACTGCCTCCCTGTGACACCTACTGCTCAAAATAAAAACTTCTCAGGGTCAATTCAAAAATGTAAGTGTATATTTTAGAATTCTGACTTGATAAGAACTGATCGATTTATCAAGTAGAGAAATATTTATGTCGCAAAATATTAAAATACAGGGCAGTTGAAGACAGATTTCAAGTCACATTTCTTTTGTTGTTGTTGTTATTTATTATTTTTTAAAATCTTTAATGTTGAAAGTATTACATATGTCCCCTTCCCCCCTGCCTTGACTCCCCTCCCCCCACCCCCCCTTAGGCCTTCACCAGCCTATTGTCTGTGTCCATGAGTTATGCATCTATGGATAAAGGTCTTTGGTTTATTACCTTCCACCCACACACCCTCCCCGTCTTCCCTTCGAGATTCCGCACTCTGTTCCATGCTTCCATGTCTCTGGGTCCACTCCGTTCATCAGTTTATTTGTTAATTGGATTCCACATATGAGTGGGATCATGTGATACTCGTCTTTCTCTGACTGACTTATTTCACTTAGCGTGATACTCTCCAGGTCCCTCCATGCTGTCTCAGAGGCTAAGAGTTTCTTCTGTTTTACTCCTGCATAATATTCCATGGCATAAATGTACCACAGCTTTTTTATCCACTAATCTACTGATGGGCTGTTTCCAGATCTTAGCTGTTGTAAATTGTGTGAAGTTACATTTCTTAAAATAATCAAATTATTTCTTTTGGCCTAGACTCCTTTTAATTCATTCAGTAAATATTAATTGAGTGCCCACTATGTGCATGTTCTGCTCTAGGTTCTGGTAATGGATAAATTTTGAATAGTTCCTGCCCTCTTGGAGTTCACAGCTTAGTGAGGGACGCTTTTGGAGGAATGAAATTAGCCACTGTAAAGGCTGCAGAGAAAAGCCAAAATTAATTTTAAAACCATACATCAATCCTATAAAATTATCACAAAGTGTTTTGTTTTGTTTTTTTAACTGAAACAAGTTTAGATGTACAACGTTCTGTAAAGTACAGCCCTCTCTATTTTTGTTATTGATGACTTAATACCACGGAGGTTGTTCTTATAGTTACACTGTTGACCTTTAAATAACCTTTAATGGATTTATTTTTGTATGCTGTTAGAATGTGTCATACTTGACGTTCGCAATTATCTTGAGATAGTTGAGCGTTGGCGTTGGAGTAACTGCCAAAGCTGGCGGGGGCTCTGTGTCTCTGTGTTGAACCAAAGTTGCGACAGCAAAAGATGGAGAGCAGGGGGCAGATGTGAGTGACATTGTGGAAGAAGAATCAGGAAGCTGAGGTGACTGAGTTTTCTGACTGGGTGGCTGGGAAATATGACACCATTAACAGAAATAGGGGAGTCAGGAGACAGGCAGATTTGGAGACAAGCTGAGGAGGGCTATTTCAGGACTTGTTGAGCTTACAGTTTGGGTAAGTCATTTAGGTAGGAATGTCTTGCAGACAACTGAAGATGCATATAGG